CCCAATCACCTGTGGGCTTATGTGCGCAAGTGCAAAATTACAAACAAATCTAAGGGTAAGCCATATATATTCAAATGTGAAAATGCTGGAAAGCACTCTTTAAAAAAAAAAAATTATTCTACACTCCTTGTGAAATCAATATCCAAACAAACTTTCTCACAAAGCTGTGTCGTCAAATTCTGCACAAATTTAGTACAAAGCTCTAGCATCCTACAGGAAATCTTGTGCAAAATCTCACTTCATCAAATCTGGAAGCAGGGCGACTACTCAGCTTCTTCCTCAACCTTCCCGGGCGCCTCCTCTCTGTGCCACTAGTGCTTGGTCCTTCTCCTTCCAAAGGGTTTTCTTGCTGAAATGCAGATGGTGAATTTAATCTAACACTTATGTTTGGATAAGGGTTAAGAATACAACGGTTTTCCCGGAAGCTTTGTCAATGATTGGCCATCATACCAATCACCCTGGAGTGCCAATACTTCCACTATGCCGAGAGTTTGCAGACTTAATTAGGGATTGATCATGAACTACAGAGCCAGTCCATGCTCTATCTTGCTAAGTGCTTACGGTGCAGAGGCCACAGCGACCTCTCAACACAGGGACACTATCACTTTCCAGTGGATTTGGATATAACATAATTAAAAATAACTAAGATCATAAATCTTATTTGAAATCCTACAAGTTTTCAGTGGATTTTGATATAACTTGATTAAAAATAACTAAGATGATAAGTCTTAATTGAAATCCTACTGTAGTTTAGTTGTAAACTTCAAATCATAAAAAAGTTGTACTAAAACTGTCTTTTTCATCATCTAAATGTCAGTATATCTATATCTACAACTTTATTCAAATTGCTTGTGTTGTTATGGGTCCATCAGCCTAATTAACAAATACATCATGGGAAGATCTGAAGTAAGAAGTTTAATTATGGTAAAAAAAAAAAAAACACAAACTAGGTTTACTGAAAGGTTAATTGCAGCAGGTAAATCAAATTACAATCAGAAATTAGTATACTCCACAGTATATTTATAAAGTTACATTCTAAACTAAAGGCTTAGTCCAATTTACATTATATTCAATTACAACAGAATGTAGTCTCTATGAAAATTAACTCTTATATTTACACAACATTTGTTTAAAAACAACACAATTTAAGTTTGTATATATATCTGATGAACCGTATTCATATTGACAAATGTAGAAAAGGTATCTCTCTTCTTTTTAATCATGATCAATTCTGGAAATAAACAAGTGATCAAAAATTCCAAGACATATTATTCAGACATATATTGAAATAGATTATCCCCAACTCACCTGAGACACAGCTGGTATAAAGCTGGTGACCTCATCTTCTTGCTGTTTTTCCACATCTTTTGTTCTCATTTTAACTTTCTAGGAAGGTAATTTCACACTACAAGCACTTCACTCCAGGTTGTGGTCATGCTGAAGAAAAAATATCACAGAATTGGAGATCAATATTCTAATCATTACACAGAGACCTAGCATTAATAATAAATCAACCAATCAAACCTGAAGGTCTCGGCAATTGTGCTACAGAAATGACAATAGAGTATATAAGTTTCATGAATGGTTCACATTAACTTAGACTGCTAAATAGATTTTGTGATGTGGCACTGGAGACTTATGGCTGGTTTGATAAAATTGTGCGAAGCCCGACCTTAAGCAAATTGATTATACATAGATACATTTGCACAGATATTAATACACATTTATCAATCTAGACATGCATATTTAATGGACAGAGGGGTAGATGAATGTATACCTATCTGACAAATAGACAAATATGCATTCATTTCTGGGTATATGCATATCCGTATGTATGAATGTTCATTGGGTCGTACTTTGCACAATTTTAACATACTGGCCATTACAAACAGTTTGCTAGAATTGTGCAAAGCTCGACCAAATTAATATTCTTATATTCAGAAGTAGATATACACAAAAATAAATGCATATCCGTCTATCTGTCAGATACACATTCATCTATCAGTCTGGCAAATATGTGTGCCTAGACTGATAGATATGCTTTTATTTCTGAGTATATGCATGTCTGTATATACATATATTCATTGGGCCGGGCCTCATATAATTCTAACAAACCAGTCGCTAGCCTCTGATGAGTGTATCTATATTGAGAATTACCCAAGAAATTAAGTAGTGACAACCTATATAATCATACAGGCTAAAAAAAAATATGATTTTTCCCATAACAAAAGCCATCATTTGCAAATGATGTTCGCCCCATACTTGGCAAAAGAAATATAGCATTAATCATGGAAAAGACGAGAAACACAAAACTGACCTCAAAAGTACATTTCTTCAATGCAAATCATAGACCGACTTCAAAGCACCCACAACGTTAATTCCCATACAGGTAATAACCCCAAAAGCGATCAATATTGAAATGGAATGTCTTCATTACCAACTATTCTACCTTTTCCTTCCTTTCCTAGACTACCCTCCACGGATTCCCTCGGTGTTCCAT